GCGGTGGAGTGCGGGAAACGTGTAAACTCGGGCCGATTGTAACTGCGTATTACCAAATATTTGTTTGTAATCCACCCTTTTGGTGGATGGAACAAAACCAAAAGACAGAGCCATCTTATATTTTGGCGGGAAATTCACCCGCACTCCAAGTGTTAAAAAACTGTTCAACAATGAAATTAAGCCAAAGATCTCAAAAATGGAAAGCACTGGTAAAAGAACTAGTAGAGTGCAATGAATCAAATTAAATAAAAACAAATATTACAGAAATGCAAGGATGGTTTAATTTAAAAAAATTAACACGAACCGATACTAAAAATATTAAAATTTAATTTTATGATAAAAAAATTCTTAGTAAGCTAGAAATAGTAGTAAAACCTTACAGCAAACATTGCAATTAATTGTGAAACTTTATATAAGCAACTCCCATTAAAGTCAGGAATGTACAACATTGTTTCTATCATTGCTTCTATTTATATCACTAGAGGCTCAGTGCACGAAATTCGTTCGGGGGTGGGGGGAAAGGGTCCCTCAGCCCATCCTGCACCCTCTCGAAATCCGGGACCCTTTGGGAGATGTCCAACTGCCAGTTTAGGCCCGATCCCGTAGGAATCTGGGACTGCTGGCTCCTAACCGCTCGCCTGCCTGCATGATCACCCCTAACCACTCTGCCTGACAGCCCCTAACCGCTCGCCTGCCTGATTGCCTCTAACTGCTTGCCTGCCTGCCTGATCACCCCTAACCGCCTCTGCTTGCCTGCCTGATCGCCCCTAACATACCTAGAAATAAATGTAACAAAAGATGTAAGTGAATTTTATGGAAGAAATAGAGGCCTGGTGCACGAATTTGTGCACAGGTGGGGTCCGGCTGGCCCACCCCAATTGGGGCCAATTGGGGGGAGTGGCTGTGGGCGCTGTCCAGCCAGCCCCGCCCCCTGGTCGAACTCCTGGTTGAGGGGACAATTTGCATATTAGCCTTTTATTATATAGGATTATAAAACTGTATTAAAGGATATATAAAAACCTGAATAAACATGAATCTTTATGAGAAGACAAATATAAATTCTCTCCTAATCTATAAATTCCAATTCCAATAAAAATCCCTATAGTTTTCTTATTAAGAATAACAATTAATTCAGTAAGAATTTTGTGGTTTTAACTAGCCCTATTTCCATCATACCTCCTGAGAGTCATGGTACCTAAAAACAGCAGCCCACAAACATGGTAGAAACCAGCAGTCTGGAAGCCACTGGAGAGGGTTAAGAGTTCCTTCAAAACAGCTATCCTGGAGAATTATTATTGGACTTCCATGGTGGTTCCCTGGAAGACACCACTCACAAGGCTGTCTTTATTTGACAGAGCTGCCAAGTAAAACAGTCTTTTCCCTGGGGGGGTGTCTGTCAAAAACAATCAAAGACAATTGTTGAACATCAGGGCTGCCTGAGGCAGTGGATAACGGTTTTAACAGGTGAGGCAGAAAACAGGCTAACCAAAAAGCTTTAAAAGTAAAGCTGAAGAATAAGCCTCTATGCAGTGGTTGCAACCGCTGGTTTAAGGAAATGAGGGCTTTGAAAGCTCTGGGGCTCATGAATGCAACAGACATACCAAGACCTTTATGCATGATCAGGAAAGACCTGAGATGGTCCTAAACTCTCCTTTGAACTTGAGACTGCGCAAGCAAGAAGTGAAGGCTAAGGCAAAGTTATAAAATACCTGGCTGTATATGAAAGCATGTCCTAACATGAGCAGACCCCTTTGGCAGACTGGAGACTTATTAGTTGCAAATATTTAGGGGAATTTCTGTCAAATTATTAACTGACCACTAATCTAACCAACAATAAATACAAACTAAGATTTAGTACAAAAAAGTCACTAACAAAAATTAAAAACAACAGCTCTTGCCGGCTTGGCTCAGTGGATATAGCATTGGCCCAAGGACCGAAGGGTCTCAGGTTCCATTCAGATCAGCATGTACCTCGATTGCAGGCTTGATCTCTGGCGGGCCGGGAAGCAACCAGTTGATGTGTCTCTCTCAAATTGATGTTTCTCTCTCTCTCTCCTCCTCCTCCTCCCTTCCACACTCTCCAAAAATCAATGGAAAAATATCCTCGGGTGACGATTAACCAAAAATAAATAAATAATAAAAATTAAAAACCAGAATGAAATAGTTGTCCAGGGCAGAATGTGGGCAAGTAGACTGCAAAGGGGCATGAAAGAACTTTCAGGGGGGAGGGGAATGCTCTACATCCTCAGTGGGGCATATACATTTGTCAAAAGCCATCAACCTATACACTTAAAAGCCACATATTTTATTACATGTAAATTATATCTCAATTTTTTTAAAGGTGAACCATCTAGAATAAATTTTAATAGAAAACAAGAAACAAGTATGTTAAATTACCTACCTATGCTTTTACACAATTAGTAAAATTGAAAGAGAAGCAATTTTTCTGCCAGAACAAAGCCAATACCAGTATAGCTGATGCAAAGGTCTTTTAGAAATATAGAAAATGACCTAAGTATTACATAAGCACACATTTGGGGTTGCTTCTACTATAAACTGTGGATTTCACAAGAAAATAGTTTTGGCTGCTAAAATATAAAATGTTCATATTATATGTACTAGAGGCCTGGTGCATGAAATTCATGGATGGGTAGGGTCCCTAGGCCTGGCCAGTGATCAGGGCCAATCGGGGCCTTCCAGCTGCCTGCCAGGGCCTTCCTTTTCCAGCTGCCGGCTGCCAACTGGGGCCTTCCTTCGTTATGCACTGCCCCCTGCCCCCCTGGTGGTCAGCACACGTCATAGCGAGCGACTGAACTCCCAGTCAAACTCCTGGTCAGACTCCCAAGGGGACAATTTGCATATTTGCCTTTTATATATATAGAAGATTATTGTAGTACTATCTATGGTAACATTACACACTACCATAATTGTAACTGAGCAATTACATTTAGCAGAGACTGAATAACCACAAACGTAGTCTCCTAAGAAACTACTTTACTAATAAAACTTTCTAGGAAATTGGTGACTTCTCAATAGTTTATTTTCAGGGTGGTTTACACAAACAATTTTGTTACATCAGTATTATCTATCTAAAATGACTGTGTAACTGCTTAAAAATAAGTGAAGTTCATAGCTTTTGGGGGGGGGGGGATCAGATTGTTCATGTATCATTTATGAAGACCATCAGTCTTCTTTATTCCTTTTGGTAATCCTGTAAATTACAATATACTCCAGATACACTGTAGTGACAAATAACTAAGACAAGCAAAGACATCAACTTCACACTTCAATTTTAAAAAATATACATATTTTCAACAATTTGGTAGAAAAACATAGATTCCCTTACCTCATCATCATCAGAATCATTCCCAAACACTGATGGTTTTTGCAAAACAGGGTGTAACTTCTGTGCTTTCTTTGGCAAAATAAGCCCATACCTGCATTTTTTTTTGAATAGAAATTACACCATTATATTTAAACGTTAAAACATAACACATTCACTACCTCTTCCAGATGGAGCTACCAAGTCAAAACATGTCTATGAACACACAAGTTTCCGATCTTCAGACGTCTCAAAGTTCTAACGTGCTAAGATTTTATAACTGTTACTCTAAGTGATTATTGTAGGCACAAGCCAAACTCAAACACCATGTTAATCCAAGAAGAGAAGTAACTGAAGAGTACAGAAATGATTTAGATGGTAAAATTCAACTAAGGCAGCAGTTCTCAACCTGTGGGTCGCGACCCCTTTGGGGGTCGAACGACCCTTTCACAGGGGTCGCCCAAGACCATCGGAAAACACATATATAATTACATACTGTTTTTGTGATTAATCACGATGCTTTAATTATGTTCAATTTGTAACAATGAAAATACATCCTGCATATCAGATATTTACATTACGATTCATAACAGTAGCAAAATTACAGTTATGAAGTAGCAACAAAAATAATTTTATGGTTGGGGGTCACCACAACATGAGGAACTGTATTAAAGGGTCGCGGCATTAGGAAGGTTGAGAACCACTGGACTAAGGTTTTTAAAAGAACATGTTGGTGGAAAGCTCAGTTCATGTCCATTAAAAATAAAAACACTCTCAATTATCTTTTAGTCTAACAAGAGTCAAGAAAATAAATCCCCCCCCGCCCCTACTGTGCACTGACACAGTTTTAAAGAAGTTATTGATCGGATAATATCACCCATACTTTCTTAAAAGATTACATTAACTGAAAAACCCGAGTAGCCATAGGATAACTTCTCATTACACCTCATTACGCTCCCTCGCCTTGTATTGGAGCATCTGAGCGCACCATCCCATCAGAGGAAATTCACTCAGTTTCTCACATTTTGGCCTTTAAGATGCAGCGATCCCAGAAAGCCACATCAGAAGCACGGATTATCCATCAAACGTTAAAACTTGGAAGAACGTACACCACTTGTCTCCTGCGGCACCGCACACCCCAAGTCCCTATATGCCTACCCTTTTCTGTGGTTTCTCAGCACATTTTCCTAAAACCAGAAGGGTTGGCGGGAACCAGGACTTGAGCTGCAAGAACCAGGCCCGCTAAGGAAGCCAGGGGTGGTCTCTTCTCACTGCCCCTCAAGGCATCCAAACGGGGAGAAACTCAAGCGCGGGGTAGGAAGCAAGACTGAGGGGCCTCAGACCGAGCTTTTGGAAAATAGAAAAGTCTCGCTCTCTGCCCCTCAGCCTAACTTCCTTTATTTCCTCACAAGTTTCTCCCTCAAACTTCGGGCTTCCTTCCATCCTGGAAAATATGGGGGGGAGGGGAGTATGTTCCTCAGGATTTCTCGCTTTTCCCGTCTCTATCCCTGACGAGACAGCCCCTTCACTTCCAGCGCGCTTTTACTCCTCGGCCAAAGGCACAGTCGCCGTGGTTTCTCACTCCCCAGCCTAACCCTAACTCCCGCATCACTCACTGCCTGCCCGGAATCGCCATCTTGCTCCGGTCTCCGCTGAACGTGGCTGACGCCGACGTGACGCTGACGCAGACGCTGACGTAGTCACGTAACCTCTCGCGCGACTTTGGGCGGCCAGGAGTCCGCCTCGCCGCTGAGTCGCTTTTGAGTGGATTCAAACGCTGTTTTGGAATCTAGTCCCTTGGTCTTCGGTTTAATTTGCAAACCTACTGACTGCTTCGATATCAGTGGGAAGAAAAGAATGACAAAATTCTAGGCCAGTGGTTCCCATGGTCCCGGGACCAGCAGGTTAGCATTATCCGGGAATTTGTTAAAAACACAAAATACAGCCCTAACCGGTTCCGCTCAGTGGATAGAGCGTCGGCCTGTGGACTGAAGGGTCCCAGGTTCGATTCCGGTCAAGGGCATGTACCTTGGTTCCGGGCACATACCCAGTAGGGGGTGTGCAGGAGGCAGCTGATCGATGTTTCTAACTCCCTAGCCCTCTCCCTTCCTCTCTGTAAAAAAATCAATAAAATATATATTTTTTAAAAATTTAAAAAAATACAAAATACAAATTAACGGGTCCTATCCCAGAGCTACTGAATCAGGAACTCTGGGATGGGGCCCAGAAATGAGTTGTTCAGTATGAGTATATCCGGCTCAGGGTAATTTGGCAGAAGGTGAAAATCTATATCCTCATAGTGTCTCATAGAACCAAATTGCTTAATAATACTGTGGTACCAATGGGTATAGGAATCAAAATCATATACCATACTCTTTTTTTAAAAAAAAATCGTCATATTAACTGTGCATTCACTCACTCTTGGCCCATTCCAAACTAGTCTTATTGCAGCCGAAAAATCTTTCAGTTTCTACGGAGGGATGTTTAAGTCTCCAACTAGATTTGTCTTTCTTTTAATAAGTTTTTGTTTCAAGTATGTTGAAACATTTAGGATTATTATGTCCTCTTGCATTGACCCCTATACCATTAAAAAAATAACCCCTTCTCCCCCCTGTAAAATCTTCATATTTATTCCATAATAATGGAATCTCTCCTATCATCATCAGTTTATTCTCAAGTAAAAACTGGATCGCAATGCCATTACTTTGACTTAACGACCTTCTCTCAAACAGGACTGATAAGGAAAGGCAATAATGGTACTAATGATTCGTTCAGATGCCAGTATACATCTTTAATTTATCACAGTCTACCTTCAAGTAAAAATATATCACTTTATTTATAGTATAAAAAAACTTTATAGCCCTGGCTGGATAGCTCAGTTGATTTGGATTGTCTACCAGTGGTTCTCAACCTTCCTAATGCCGCGACCCTTTAATACAGTTCCTCATGTTGTGGTGACCCCCAACCATAAAATTATTTTCGTTGCTACTTCATAACTGTAATTTTGTTACTGTTATGAATTGTAATGTAAATATCTGATATGCAGGATGTATTTTCATTATTATAAATTGAACATAATTGAAGCATAGTGATTAATCACAAAAACAATATGTAATTATATATGTGTTTTCTGATGGTCTTAGGCGACCCCTGTGAAAGGGTCGCTCGACCCCCAAAGGGGTTGCGACCCACAGGTTGAGAACCACTGATCTACAATACAACATACAGTGTCACTTGTAAGCTATGAAGAAAGAGTCAATAAAAATTCAACTATTCAAGTCTAGGTTTCTGAATTAGGAGTAAATATAAGTAAATCAATAAATCTATCTAGTCCAGCAGTTTTCAACTGGTCTGTCGCAAGGATTATTTTTAAAAGATATTTTTATTTCAGGGAGGAAGGGAGAGGGAGAGATAGAAACATCAATGATGAGAGAGAATCATTGATCGGCTGCTTCCTGCAGGCCCCCCACTGGGGATCGAGCCCACAACCCCGGGCATGTGCCCTTGACTGGAATCAAATCCGGGATCCTTCAGTCCGCAGGCTGACACTTTATGCACTGAGCCAAACCAGCTAGGGCTGTCGCAAGGATTTTTAAAACATGCAGTATCTGACACTAAGTAATCAACTGATGTGCTATAGCAACAGGTTTTAAAAATTCTTGTGGCACACTTACTGAAAATCACTTTAGTCAAACAGATTTAAATATAAATCGATATCTAAACTTTTGTTAAGTATAAGAAATATCTTCACTAAAAAATAAGTTCTATGCCCGACTGGCGTGGCTCAGTGGTTGAACGTCGACCTGTGAACCAAGAGGCCTCCATTCGATTCCCGGTCAGGGTACAAGACCCTGTTGCAGGTTCCATCCCCAGGACTTGATTCCCAGTGTGGGGTGTGCAAGAGGCAGTTGGTCAATGATTCTCTTTCATCACTGATGTTTTTATCAACCAATCTGCCTTGCTAGTTGTTTAACTTTACAGTAATTTCCAAAAGACTGAATGCACAATTATTAGCCTAGTAAAGGGTGGAAAGTGTTAGTGAGGTGTCTGGGGTGCTGGCAAGGGTAGTAACTCTACCCTGTCTCTTACTAGTTATTGTGACCTAGGTAACTTACTCTTAGAGACTTTCTCATTTATAAAATGGAGATAATAACCTGCCTATCTTACAGGTTATCAGGACGATAAAATGAGCTAGTATGTGAAAATACTTCAAACAAGTTAAAGCACCATGCTAATATATTTATTATCATTACACAAAATGCCCTTTAGTTAACTAATCCCAGGATAGTGGTTAAAAAGGTAGCATTCTATACAAATTTGCCCTTCTTGCTGCCTAAAATACCATTTGTGTTCACAGTGAACTCTTTATAAGCTGTTCTGAAGCCATCAGGATATGGGGCTATCAGTTTAATATCTTCAAGAACCTTGTTCCTAGAAATGTTGCTGCAAATGTCCTGAAAAGCCCTCTTTCTAATACAAAAGAGGCTTATAGGTTAAAACTGGGCATGCGATCATTCAAGAGATGAGGACTGGTAATAACACTGCCATCTTATCAGAAAAGGTTAAACAGGGACCTCAAATTATAAGATGTTTGGAACACAACATATTTTTTCAACCAAATAAAAAAAATGAAGTTTAATTTCCCAAAATTTTATTAAAAACGGACTATCATCAGATATTTTATTGCAAAGATGAAATCTCACAACAGAGCAGTAAAGTTTGCTGTACTAACACTCTTTAAATATAAATTCTTTTTGTAGTTCTTGAACTTGAGAGGTTATGTTGTTGTTTTTTTTAAGGTGTTTTCTTTTTCCCATGAGTCATGGACAAACATTTTCCCACAAGGATTTCTATTTATTGAAACAACTTGTTACTAAGGTAAGTGTGTGTGTGGTGATGAGGAGGGAGAAATGGTAGTGCTCATATTAGTCTTTGAAAAATTAGAAAAACAAGTCCCAGTCCATTTCTTAAAATCTTTATTATTTGGTACTCTTTTGATGTAAAAACTGCCATTTTATTTTCTGAATCTTCGGTCTTTACTCTGTACCTTAAAAGAATGAAAATAACTCTCTTCAGCCAAGCATAATAGTCCCATGACAGATAAAAACTAAAATTGAAAGGAAAGTTTTGAATATATTCTATAACATGCATTTGTTTATGGCTACCTTAACTGTATATTTTTTAGATCTAACTTCTCCTTAGGTAGCACTTTTGACTTTAAAAAGTGCTGAGGCAAGTGTCTAGGAGCAGATTATGTCTATATGTCTATTTTCTTCCAATTGAAAATATTTTATAGTTAACAAAACTGCACATAACAAAAATATTCTAAATACAGCACCAATTCCATTAGCATTTACCTAGCAAGCTTGCACCTGGCATTTTTGCATACACACGGGAGTCAGTCTTTGAGGGCAATGGGGGTATCATAGCACCACTTAGTTTTATCTTTAGTTCTATGAGAGCTAAACAGATGTGTGACCAATGGTATAGGTACTCCATGACAATACTATGCGATTTCCACACATCGATTCGGGAATGACCTGCATCAAAGGGGAAAAAAAAGTTAGTGTGAATAGTTTTGCACTTTTTAAATTAAAATGTAAGTTCCATTATTATGATGAAAGTTCATTAGATATGTTTGGAATAAAAACCATAGCAGAATCTTGTTTAAATATCTAAGAATTTAAAAATTTTGGTGTAGTCATCTAATGAAATACTGCACAGCATTTAACAACAATTAAAGAATTAGAGCTATATATATCATGTGGATAAATCTCAAAACATTGAGCACAAAATGTAAGTTGGAGGATAATATGTTCTTTGGATACAATTTTTAAAAGTTTTAAAACCTGTAAAATAATATTATATTGTTTATGGATTCATAAGCATGTAGTAAAAGTAAGAAATCATGCATAATAAATACCAAATGCATAATAGTATTTTGTCTAGGGAGGAAGAAAATAGGATCAGGGAGGGGTAGAAAGTCTCAACTGTTCCTTTAATGTTTTTTGTTGTTAATCCTCACTGGAAAATATTTTTCCATTGATTTTTAGAGAGTGGGAGGAAGGGAGGGAGAGGAAGAGAGAGAGAGAGACAGAGGGACAGACAGACATTAATGTGAGAGAACATTGATTGGTTGTGTCCCACACCCACCCCAACCGGGCTGGGATTGAACTTGCAACCCTTCTGTGCTCTCATTGACACTAACCACTGAGAACACTAGCCAGGGCCTTATAATGTTTTCTTTTTAATAAAAAGTCTGACTCAAACACGCATAATATTAAGGTTGGATATAGAATATGGGTCCATAATGACTACAGGTGTTAGTCTCAAACTTCTGTTTGAAATATTTCTTAATTTAAAATTACTTTAAAATATAGAATCACTACATACCATTAAGATTCATGTAAAATTGCAAAGCATTAAACTGCCATTTATAAAAGTTACTTTTTCCCAGAAGTCAATGACTAATGGTCAGATAGAGTGGTCAAATGCAGCAGTTCTCAACCTGTGGGTCGCGACCCCTTTGGTGGTCGAACGACCCTTTCACAGGGGTCGCCTAAGACCATCCTGCATATCAGATATTTACATTACGATTCATAACAGTAGCAACATTACAGTTATGAAGTAGCAACGAAAATAATTTTATGGTTGGGTCACAACATGAGAAACTGTATTTAAAGGGCCAGAAGGTTGAAAACCACTAGTCTAATAGAAAGAATATACTGTAGAGTTGAACAGATCTCGGTTCCAATTATTTTTTAAATATTTTTGCATTGATTTCAGAGAGAGGAACGGAGAGGGAGAAAAGGATAGAAACATCATTGATGACAGAGAATCACTGATCAGCTGCCTCCTGCACAGCCCCAGGCATGTGCCCTGGGTTCATTGGTTGACATTCAACCGCTGAGCCACATTAGCCGGGCATGGGTTCTAATCTTGACTTTACCCCAACTAGTCTTGTGCCCTGGAGCAGGTCACCTAATTGTTCTGAACCTGTCTCTTCTTCCATAAAACAGGAATAATACCTCAGAATTGTTATTAAAATTAATGAGAAAAGATATGTGAAAATCTGACAGAGTAGTTGCTAAAAAAAATATTAATTGCCTTCTTTCAGATGCCTCCTACCCTCAGGTCTATGGCTAAATCAACAATGTTTGCTGATTTGAGTTGAATAAACCATAAATAATACTTATAATTGAATAAGAGGTTTTAAATATCATCTCCTATCCATAGTTCTTTTTTAAAAAATATATTTTATTGATTTTTTACAGAGAAGAAGGGAGAGGGATAGAGAGTTAGAAACATCGATGAAAGAGAAACATCAATCAGCTGCCTCCTGTACACTTCCCACTGGGGATGTGCCCGTAACCAAGGTACATGCCCTTGACTGGAATCAAACCTGGGACCCTTCAGTCCGCAGGCCAATGCTCCATCCACTGAGCCAAACCAGCCAGGGCCATAGTTCTTTTTTAAAAAATTGATTTTAGAGAGAAAGGGAGGGATGGGGTCAGAGAGACAGAGAGAAAGAGAAACATGGATTGGTTGCCTCCCAACCAGGGATTGAACCCACAATCTGAGCATATGCTCTAACTGGCAATCAAATTAGTGACCTTTCAGTGCCTGGGACAATGCTCAACCAAGCAAGCCACACTGGCCAGGGCTATCCATAGCCCTTTAACAATGACAGTTGTTACTTACGGATATCTATTAAATGAAAGACAACATATTTTACTTCCCTATCTCCTATCAACATGAAGGCACATAAAATGTGGAAAACATTCACAAGTCTCAAATTTTTTTTAAACTGACTTTAAAACGCAGACACAATGTTCTAGAATTCTCTTTTAACACACATACACACACACACACACACACACACACACACACACACACACAGAGGCACTGTCTTCTCCCAATTATAAGTGTTCAATAAATGTTGAATTGAAACAACATTCAATTATGGAATAATTAAGTTATGTTTTTCAAATACCAAGTCTTTTCAGATTATAACTCAGTAACATTAGTGACAATTATGAATAAAAACAAATGCTGGTCATGAGAGCACATGAAATGTACCTGGTTCATCTCTTGTTATGGGTAATACTAGACCAATCAACATACAAATGTACAATTTTGAAGTGCATTTTGTTATAATTGATCCCTTTTTGTATTTATTAGTTCCTGAAACAAAGTAATGCTATAGGCTGCAAAGATTACTCAGATTATCTTAATGTTATGAATTTAATTAAACAAAAGTTCACCCCAGAATACTTTTAAAACCAGTCCTAACTGATTTTCTGACATATGACAGCTCTCCTGCTCCCCACAGCTTTTATTCTCCCCCTCCTACATCCCCATGAAGAGCTCTGTTTCTTTGATGCCTGCCACAGTGTTCTTATCTGACATCCAAATGAATAGACTCCTATCTGCAACCATTATTAAGCCAGTCGGCCATCTCCATGGTGATTCAAGGACACGAGAATAGGGAGCGAGGTCACTCCCTTTCACAAGCCCCTGTTGCTTATTTCCTGTCTTGTTACCAGGGTCAGAAGCTCCAAACCTGTCTGGGCCATAGTTTCTGTTTCCTGCCCTTTCCAGTGAGAAAGTGATGTATTCACAGCTGGCTTTAATTTATTCCTCGAATGAAGCCTCCATTGCTCTGTGGCAGTGATTTTCAACCTTCCTCATTTGAGGGCACACATAAACTAATTACTAAAATTCTGTGGCACGCCAAAAAATATATTTTTTGCCAATCTGACAAAAAAAAAGGTATTTTTTTGATTTATTCACACCTGAAAGCTGTTGTGTTGGCTGTTGTCATTTTTTTATTTGACAATCTGAGGGAAAAGAGGTCAGTGCTCCTGACTAAATAGTCAGGTATTGCACGTTTTAAACATTCTTGTGGCACACCAGTGTGTGGTGGCACAGAAACGGGTTGAAAATTGCTGCTTTGTGGGGTGCCCATTAGCAGTGGTTGAGCACTGCTGCCCTCTTGTGGTGGACAGATGCCAGATCTTTGCAGTAGCTGCACAGATTTTACAATTCTTTCAAGCAAACGTACTACTTTTTTTTTCCTTTTCTAACCATAAGAAATTGTTGTTGTTGTTGTTTTGTGTTTTTTTTTGCTTTGCTTTGCATTGGTAAGGGTTATAGTAAATTATTTGAAGACATCTGAGCTAAAATAATTGCTGAGACAAACTTTGAATCTGTTTATAAACCTATTGCTTTCAAAAGACTCGAGTTTGATCAAACTTTTAATTACATAGGAAATTCATTTTGCTTAAAACATTAGAATAATATGGGATATTTCTAATTAAATCTCCATTTATGGATCTCTGCTTTAACACTGGATTAAGTTAAATCTTCCACTTTTTTTCTTGAGTTACCAAAGTTTGGGTGGAAGTTTATTCCAGGCTGAACATGGAGTTCTTGCATTAATTTCATTCCTATTGTAAGCACAACTTCTGCACAATATCACATTGTATTGGCTTTTCAAAATGATGTAGCCATAAATCAAATTATGTACAAATTGAAATCAAGGCAATTTATTTTTATAAAAATTCATACTTTAATACAGTGGCTTTTAAATTCTTAGATCATATCCCTCTATCAGTAAAAGATGTTGAACATGATCCAAATATATGTATATTTATTTATGAATTATTTATTTTAAAACAGTAAAAAATAGAAATCCGACATTGACGGGATAAATTTATTACAAATAAAAGTCCTGCACTATTTTCTTGCACTTCAGTGGTGTCGGTATCAGTTGTTTGTGCCTTTTGTTTGCTCCTTTTTGTTGGAGCTTAGTGGGGAAAGCCTACAGGTGTCTCAGTATTCAGTAGACACACTCATACTCTCCCTGTTTCCACTCTGGTACTCTCCCTTCTCAGCTGTGTCTGATGTCCCCTAGGTCAGAGACTTTCTATGTTACCTTTTCTGAGGAAAAAGTTTCTACGGTTGGGGTGAGGAGTTGCCTAGTGTGTAGGAGGTGTAAAGAAGATGACATACAGACACCAAAACACTGAGACAGAAGGAAAGAGGAGAAACAACAGGGAGAAGAAAACTTTAAAAAATAATTATCATTAATACCTTCAGAGAGAGAAGACATTGCATTCAAGAAACAGAACAGATGTTGTAATAGCAAGTATTTAAAGAACAGCAACAACAAAGCTCTTAGACATTAAAGCATGCAGAAACAAACATTCAATAGGATTAGAAGGTTGAGAGAATGTCTCAGAAAGTGGGGGGGGGGAAAAAGACAAAAAGATGCAAAATAGGAGGAAAAATACAAGGATTTGGGAGACTAAATTTAGGCGATCCAATGTCTAAACAATAGGAATTCCAAAGACACAATACAGAAAAGAGGGCAGGGCCACCACCAACCTCTAGGTCATCTTTGTGTAAATGAGAAAAAGACACCCACCATGGAAGAATGCACTCTGTGAGCACATAGCTTGATGAGCAGAAAAAGGTGTGTGAAGAAAGAGATGCCCCTCATACAAGCAGATGTGGCCTTATGCTAAAGCACACAGTT